ACTCTCAGCAAAGTGAGAATAGAGGGAACATACCTCAACATAATAATGGCCGCATGTGAGAAACCCACAGCTAACATACTTAATGGTAGAAAGCTAAAAATGTTTTTCTTGAGATCAGGAACAAGATGAGCATGTCCACATTCACCACTTTTATTCAACATAGCTATTAGAAGTTCTACCTACAGCAAATAGACAAGAAAAAGAAACAAAAGGCATCCAAATTGGAAAGGAAAAAGTAAAACTGTCATTATTTGCAGATGACATGATACTATATAGAGCCCTAAAGAGTCCACCAAAAAAACTATTACAGCTGATAAATGAATGCAGTAAAGTAGCAAGATAGAAAATTAACTCAGAAATCAATTGTATTTTTATACTCGTATGCCAATAACAAACTATCAGAAGAGAAATTAGGAAAAAAATCCTATTTTCAATTGCATCAGAAAACAACAACAAAAAAACATAACAACCTAGGAATAATTCAACCAAGGAGGTAAAAGACCTGTAACTCAAAAAATTGTTAAGACATTGAAGAAAGAAATTGATGATACAAATAAGAGGAAAGATATACCATGCTTGAAGATAGGAAGAATTAACATTGTTAAAATGTCCATGCTACTCAAAGCAATCTACAGATTCAATGCAATCCCTATCAAAATACCAATGGCATTTTTCACAGAACTAGAACAAATAATCTTATAATTTATACAGAACCACAAAAGATCTCGAGTAGCCAACACAATTTTGAAAAACAACAAAGTTGGAGGTATGATGCCACCTGATAGCAAACTATACTACAAGGCCACAATAATCAAAACAGCATGGTATTGGCATAAAAGCAGACACATAGATCAGTGGAACAGAATAGAAAGCCCAGGAATAAACCCATGTCTATGTGGTAAATTAACCTATGACAAAGGAGGCAAGAATATAATGGTGTAAAGACAGTCTCTTCAATAAATGGTGTTGGGAGAACTGGATAGATGCATGCAAAAAATATGAAACCAGACCACTTTCTTACACCATATACAAGAATAAACTCAAAATGGATTAAAGACTTGAATGTAAGACTAAAACTCCTAGAAGAAAACATAAGCAGTAAACTCTATGATGTTGCTTAGTAACTTATTTTTTTTTTTATTTGTCTTCTCGGGCAAGGCAAACAAAATAAAAAACAAACAAATGAACTGCATCAAACTAAAAAGTTTTTGCACAGCAAAGGAAACCATTAACAAAACAAAAAGACAGCTTGCTCCCAGCGGAGACCCTGACAGGAGGAGGAGGGTCAGAGCTCAGTGCAGCCAATCGCAAACAACGCTGCTAGTTATCAGAGCAGAATGGGCTGTAGTTTAGTGAAATAGGAAAGCTGCAAAACACTGTGGAGTGTTCCCGTGTAAATAAAAAGAGGAAAAAAAAGTTGCTCAAGTCGCCGCTGCACTACGTCAGGCCAGCACCGGGGTAGGGTCTGAACTGTCCTGATGGGCCACACGCTGGACTTTATTGTGCCACAACAAGTCCCAGTTCCCATTGCTTGTGGTTTTTTTTCAAAATATGGAAAAGGTTCAGGTGAACAATGTAGTGGTACTGGATAACCCTTCTCCTTTGTACAACCCATTCCAGTTCGCGATCACCTTCAAGTGCATTGAGAACCTGTCTGAAGACTTGAAATGGAAAATTATCTATGTGGGCTCTGCAGAAAGTGAAGAATATGATCAAGTTTTAGACTCTGTTTTAGTGGGCCCTGTTCCTGCAGGAAGGCATATGTTTGTATTTCAGGCTGACGCCCCTAGCCCAGGACTCATTCCAGATGCAGATGCAGTAGGTGTCACAGTTGTGCTAATTACGTGCACCTATCGAGGTCAAGAATTTATTAGAGTTGGCTATTATGTAAATAATGAATACACCGACGCAGAATTAAGGGAAAATCCGCCAGTAAAACCAGACTTTTCTAAGCTTCAAAGGAACATTCTGGCATCTAATCCCAGAGTCACAATATTTCACATTAACTGGGAAGATAACAGAAAAACTGGAAGATGCAGACAGCAGTAATCCAAATCTACAATCACTTCTTTCAACAGATGCATTACCTTCAGCATCAAAGGGATGGTCTACGTCAGAAAACTCACTAAATGTCATGTTAGAATCCCACATGGACATCATGTGACCACCTGCCATCCCTCTAGTACAAATTAAGCTATAAAAACACACAAAACTATTTCCCTGAAATTCCATTAAATCATAGTCAAAACACAATGTGAAGAATTTGTTTTCAAAACATCCTGTAGAAAGTTTATAAGAAAACCAGTATTTGAGCAAATTGTAGAATATAAATACAATTGCTTTTAAGTAAAAAAAAAAAAAAAAGAAAAGACAACCTACTGAATGGGAGAAGATATCCACCAATGAATGATATATCTGATAAGGAGTTAATATCCAAAAGGTATGAGGAACTCATACGACTTAACACCAAAAAAAAAAAAAAATCCGATTAAAAAAATGGGCAAAGGAACCTGAATAGATATTTCTCCAGAGAGAACATACAGATGGCCAACAGACATATGAGAAGATGCTTAACATCACTAATCATCAGGAAAATGCAAATAAAACCACAACGGGATATCACCTCACTCCTGTCAGAAGGGCTATCATCAATAGATCAACAAACAACAGTGTCAGTGAGGATGTGCAGAAAAGGGAACCCTTGTGCACTGTTGGTGGGGTTGTAAATTGGTACAGCTACTATGGAAAACAGTATGGAGGTTCCTCAAAAAATTAAAAATAGCACCACCATATGACCCAGCAATTCCACTTCTGGGTATTTATCTGAAGAAATCCACTAATTTGAAAAGATATATGCATTCCTATATTCATTGCAGGATTATTTACAATAGCCAAAATATGGAAGCAACCTAAGTGTCCATTGATAAGACAACTGGATAAGAAAAGGTAGTACATATATAGCAATGAAATATTACTAGGCCATAAAAAAGAATGAAATGTTGTCATTTGCAACAACATGGATGGACCTAGAGGGTATTATGCTAAGTGAAATAAGTCAGATAAAGAGAAACACCATACGATTTCATTTATATGTGCAATCTTAAAAACAAAATAAATGAACAAACACAACAGAAACAAAATCATAGATACACAGAACAAACTGATGGTTGCCAGATGAGGGGATTTGTGGGGCTGGGTGAAAAAAGTGAAGGGATCAAGAAGTACAAATTGGCAGTTACAAAATAGTCACAGGGATGTAAATTGCAGCATAGGGAATATAGTCAATATTATAATAACTATGTATGGTGTCAGATGGGTACTAGACTTATTGGGGGATCACTTCGTAAGTTATGTAAATGTCCCACCACTATGCTGTACAACTGAAACTAACATTATATTGAATGTCAACTGTAATTTAAAAA